GACCTGCCTGGTCCAGGTTAGCCTGATCTCAGAAGCTATGTAGGGTTAGCCCTGGCCACTATTTGGATGGGAAACCACCATGGAAGCCCAAAGTCGCTATGCAGAAGAAGGCCATGGCAAACCACCTCTGTTCATCTCTTGCCTTGAGATCCCTACGGGGTCGGCCAGACATCATCTGCAACTTGACAGCATTTCACGCACACACAGCTAGGAGCTCATGCTCCATACCACTGCCCGAACAGAACAGCTATTTTGGATTTTTAGGGCGTGGCTTAAGAGAGTGACGTGTGCTTTTTCGAAAACATAGGTTCATAATGCAGCGGCTGTGCGGCTTCTCCATGGTAGAAACCTTGATACTTGATGTGGTGGGGGGTTGGGAAGGGATTGGATTTCCAGGAATGTAAGTTTCCACTAAGCGTGTAAGTTTCCACTAAGCGTGAGATGCTCAGTGCCAGAACTATATATTTCATCGACTTAAACCAGTGGGAAGACAGCAAAAACTCTTTGCTATGCACTGATTAGTTTTGTTTGGAAATGCTGTTTGGAGCGTACGATTCCTGTGGTTTCCACAACGTATTTCTCCGGGTGCTCTCAGAGGAGAGACACTGGAGAGGCAAAACTATCTTTTTTATCAGACAAATGGCTTCTATAAATGTTTTGCCGGCTTTCAGACCATGACAGGTTGTACTTTAGATGAAAAGGATAGATGCTGTTGTTGACCTTGTAGCCTTGGCAACCGCACAGGATAAAAATTAGCGGATGGGGCCCGATTCAGATGTTACCAGATCCAACTGAAGGCAACCAATGGGGCTTAGTTGTGAAGAAGGGCTCTTAGCCAGAAGAGATAAATGGAGACTCCATGTTCAGGAGCAGTGAATACCAAAAGCAGAAAATACACTGTCACCATCACATCTTGTGCTGAGCATCCTAGCCTCTGGTTGGCCACTATTAATGAAAGAATGCAAGGCTAGCTTTGGACAGAGATGGGACTTTGGTCCAATCCAGCAAGGCATTTGTTGCAGTTGTTATTCCCACATCTTCCCAGGCAGCATGATGCAGTGGTTAGAGCATCGGATTAGGATTTGGGAGTCCCAGATTTGAATCCTTGCTCTGCCATGGAAGCCTGCTGGGTGATCCTGGGACAGCCACACAATCACAACCTGCCTCTCAGGTAGTGAAGAGTGGATGGGAGAGGGGATGGAAAGGGGTTTAAACTTTAACCCCCTTTCCATCCCTTCTCTGGAGTCAGGCCACAGCTGTATTTGGCTGAATAAAGACCCGAAAAATACTGGGTATAGTTTGGCTTTTATTCGGGCATCCAAAGGGAAGGGAAGGGGTTTAAAACCTTATTGGTAGCTGAATAAATACCCCTATTCAAGACCTATAGTTCTGAGGAGTAGAGAAAGCAAGCAAGCAAGAAAGAAAGAAATGAATTTAGGTATTGAGCATTTGGTGTGTTTTTTTGTTAGATTTCTATTCCTACCTTTCCTGAAGTCTCAGGGTGGATTACAACAATAAAACAACAATTTTCAATAGAAATACATAATATATAAGATAATAAAATCAGACACTGGCTCTTTGAAATAATCGATAAAATATTTTTTAAAAGAGTGAATAATTTCCAGGAGGTCCAACAAAACGAGATCAGGAGAAGGCCTCCTTGAACAATTCTGACTTGCAAGATCAGGAGAAGGCCTCCTTGAACACTTCTGACTTGTAAGCCCTGCGGAAGCTTAGAAGGTCTTGCAGAAAGGTCCAATGCCCATTGGTTGGCCCCTTTGAGGTCTTCCTTCTGGTTATAGGGCAAATCCAGAACGGGCCAAGAGCATTAGATTCAATATTGTATGGAGCCTACCCACATTCCAGAGCAGAAAAGGCTTTTTTCATTGCTTTTAATGGTTTACATCCACAGGTTTAATGAGAATGGAAAGGAAGAAGGTTGGCCCGACCATATGTGGTAGAAAGTGTTGTCAAGCCGTCACCATGAGTAGACTTCCATGGGTTTTCAAGGAAAGAGATGAACAAAGGTGGTTTGCCATTCCCTACCTCCAGGGGTCATTTCCTATAGGAGCGCAAAGGAGTGGAGCTCCGGCAGTAAAGAGCCCAGGGGGCGGGCATATGCAGCAAGCTCCACCCCCTACTCCCAGCAGCCCTCAGTCAGAGCAAGAAGCAGCCAGGTAAGTTGCAGAGCCCCCCCCCATCCCCCCGGTCCAAAACAGCCCAGTGGCACCTTTAAGACCAAGTTGTATTCAGGTACAAGCTCTCCCTCCTCTGCGAGGACAGATCTGCACGTTCCCCCCCC